TTTCATGATCTGTGTGATGTTTGCTGTAATAATTTTGCAATCACTGGCATTTTAAGCACATTACTCTGTATCTACTCTACTGTTTAAAAGTGAGAAAAGAAAGAAATTAATACTATTATTCAGCAAGGACACACTAAATTAATCAAAAGTGACAGTAAAGACATTTATAATGTTACAAAAGGTTTCCATTTCAAATGCTGTTCTTTTTAACTTCATATTTGTTTAAAAAATAATTTAAAAACTGTACAAAAATAAATAAATAAATAAATAAATAAAATAAAAAACACAACTGTCGACATTGATGATAATAAGAAACGTTTCTTGAGCACCAAATTATAATGACACTAGAAAATCCGCAAGGCCTTAAGGAGCAGCTCCTATAAAGATTCTCTCTCCACTCATACGTGGGCATCCATCAATAAGGCAATTGTTTAAGCTCCCAGCAGAGCTCGGCTCTGCCTGTGAAATTTATGAGAGCCAGAGCAAACAGACGAGTGGATGAATGGAGAGAGTGAATCCCGCAGGCAGACGGAACAGAGTCCTTAACAGTAACAACACAATCAATCAGGTCATACACACTTCACACTCAAGCCCAAGAATGCTCCCAACATCCCCTCTGCATCTTCGGCCTAGCTCATCATTGCGCTTCATGGTAAAAGGCAATTGAGGATGAATGATAGGACACAGGCTGCTCTATTTATACCAGATTTAGTGACTCAAAGGTGGCATTTGTTACCATCATCATCAAGTAACTGAGCAAATGGATGCAACTTCCTTTGCATATTTTATCTGTTGTTGCACGTCTCTGGATGATTGGAGAAAGATTTATGCTATAGTAACAACCTGAAATGGCAAAATTGAGTGGAGATGTAAGAAAGCAGTTTGCACTAAATTACACAAATTCACAGTGTGGATGATGTTACCGTCTTCACGTTGTTTTCGCACTGGAAACAGCCTCATGGTTAGCCAAGTAGCCGCTGGCATCCTAACAGCAATCAGTCACTGTATTTTACTCATTATGCAGCCCTGAGAGAAGCTCGGAGGAGGGTTTTATCCACATCGCAGCTGTGAATAGCAAAGCTTAGCCAGGGTTCGGGTGATGGCTCTTGAATTCACAAAGGGTACAGTTCGTACATGGCTACAACTGTGCATAGATTACTACTAACATGAAGACTAGAGGCAATGCAGAAAATCTGAGGTCTAGGGTTGCAATTGCACAAGGGATAGAACAACAGACAGCATAAAGTCTTGCTACAGAGAGCAATTGTGTTTTGCCCACAAACAATGATGTATCTTTTGAATAGAAAACATGTTGATCGCGACACAATCTGTCCCCACAGCAGTGTGGCAACACGGTGCTTGGGGACTTCATTATAATCTTGACTGTAAAACTTTGAGATGATCATAGAGAATTTTGTCTATTTCTTTTGTTTCTTTTCTCTCTGCCTATTTTTTCATCTCTCTCACTTTTGCTTCTTTGTTTAGCATGGATTTTGTTCCCACCTGACAGTGTTAATAGCCAGTTCTACTTTAGCAACTCTGGCCATCTGCGCTATTATCAGACAACGTTTTGATCGTTTCTAAAATAAGTCTTTGAAAGTGTTTGTGAAAGTGTTTGTTAGTTTTATAATGGAATCTTGGGGAAATTATCCAGAATACAGTAAAACGTTGCTGCGGGGCCACTTCTAATAGTAACCCAGAGATTAAATGCATTTCTCCTTTTTCCAAATCTTTAAATAGATCCTGAGAAGTTCATGCTTCTGCAAACTGTTCACTGCTCATTCCCAAATGAACATAAGATATTACAGTAATCAGTAACATCAGCATGTCTACCGCCGTAAAGCTTAAATTATATTCATTTACATACATATTAATATAGTAAGTAGAACAGAATTGTGAGCACATGTTGTAGAAACATAAACATTTCTATTCATTTTCATGATCTGTGTGATGTTTGCTGTAATAATTTTGCAATCACTGGCATTTTAAGCACATTACTCTGTATCTACTCTACTGTTTAAAAGTGAGAAAAGAAAGAAATTAATACTATTATTCAGCAAGGACACACTAAATTAATCAAAAGTGACAGTAAAGACATTTATAATGTTACAAAAGGTTTCCATTTCAAATGCTGTTCTTTTTAACTTCATATTTGTTTAAAAAATAATTTAAAAACTGTACAAAAATAAATAAATAAATAAATAAATAAATAAATAAATAAATAAATAAAATAAAAAACACAAGTGTCGACATTGATGATAATAAGAAACGTTTCTTGAGCACCAAATCAGCATATTATAATGACTTCTGAAGGACCGTGTGACTCTAAAGACTGGAGTAATAGCTGCTGAAAATTCAGCCATCATAAAAATAAATAATAATAATAATAATAATAATAATAGAAAACAGGTATTTTAAATTATAAAGACATTTCACAATATCACTGTTTTTTTTATTAAATAAATGTAGCTTTGGTGAGCATAAGAGACTTTCAAAAACATTAAAAAAAAATCTTATATCTTACTGTATATAGACCTCAAACTTTTGAATGATAGTGTAACTATTTCTTTAAATAAATAGGGCAGTCTGTTCCTTCCAGCTCACCTAAGAATAATAACTACTCAATTTGTATCAATTTATGAGCATTTTTTAAGCGTGCTGACAGAAATCTCCAGTTCATTCCAATTGAATGTTGTATAAAGCTTGTCTGAGAAATCAACAGTAACCAAGGGAGTTTGAGCTTAGCAAAGGCATAGTCCTCTATTTCTGAAATTCTCTACTTGCCTAGTTTTGTGCACCCTCCAACCTGTTTGCATGATCTCCCGCAAGTATCTATCACCATGGTGACAATATCCTTCTTCTGTTGGAGCACTATATCATAATGTTAAGGAATACTGAAGCACAGATTTGTATAACCATTGCATAAAGAAGACTAAAACCATAAATTAGACCTCGGCTGTGACCTGACTTGACCTGAACATGTGATCAAGAGTGGCCAAAAGACCAAACCAAAATCATGCAGCCTGCTAAGCTCAAAGATGACAGTTATTGACATAAAAAAAAAATTTTATTAAATAAATAATTATATATATATATATATATA